TTTTTTTAAAAGAGCCCAAAAAAAGAAAGGCGCTTTCTCCCCCCTAAACCCCCCCCCCCCCCCCCCCCCCCCGCACACACCATTATATCCATAGATCTACAATTAGTAGTTCAAAATTAAATAAAACATATTTAACAAAACTTACTTTTCCAACTTTGAATGTACGCCTGTATTCATTTTTCTTTTCTAAAAATGTTTCATTGCCAATACCCAGTACCAGTATTCATACAGTATTTGCAGGTCTATTTGATTTAGAAAGAAAAATAGACCTGCAAATACTGTAAGAATATGAGTGTATTGTTAGCATTATATTTAAATTGTAAATAGAGAATCATCAAGTAGATATATAACTACAATACGTTTTAGTGATTAAAATAAATGAACTGTTCATTTTAAATTTAAAAGTTTAATTTTATTACGAAAATGTAAAATTGGTCTCTATTTAAACTGACCACACAAACATAAACAATACCAACACACAAATTTCAATTCACAAATTTAATGTATAAAAAAATGGGTTGACAGAGTCACACTTCACAATAAAAGTAGACAAATGGATAAACCAGTAGTAAAACCATGGATGCTTTGAACACAAACAGTTCAGCACATGTGTGATATAGTTAGCAATATTGCACAAATTAATTTTGCACTTGTTTGGACACACATAATGAAGTGGAAAAACATTCTTTGAAACATTTTGGTTGGCACCCCATGTAACTTTGTCTTCATTTTCAACTTTAAGACATAAATATAAAAACACAAATTATCTGTATGAAATATAAGTAAATGGATAAAATTCAAATAAAGTAGATTCAAGGACAAAGAAAGTTACTATAAAAAGTAAAAGACAAGGACAGAAGTTGAAGACAGAAGTGGGTTTTAAAAAAGATTGGTGATACTGCATTACAAAATGTATGCAAAATTATCCAAAGAAACTGATGTCCCAGGACATTTTCATATCTACTAAACATTTATTTAAAAATTACAGATACCCGTACAGAATGCTCTCAGGAGCACTACCCAGCTGCTCATCCAATGGAAGCCAGCAAATTGAATTACAGTAACTGTCATAGTTTATAAACCAGTACAATATTTTTTTTTTATTTACCTTTTACGTTAACTTCCTAGAAATATAAATTAAATAAATATCATAAGGAAGTTACCGCTACACTGAAAAAGAAATGCATTAACTTTACAGCAATATCATCAATACAATGCATTGTAATTCACACAGAGTGTATGCAACACTTTAAAAAAATAATAATTTATTTTTGTAAGCATTTACATTTAGTGGGAAATATAGTTTTTAACAAATTTAAGTTCACCAATTTAACCTTAATTGTTTTAACATCAGTGAAGAAAGGTTTTTTGTGGTGATTTTAAAATATTAAGTACTGGTACTGATAAAAAAAATATCCTCAATGAAACTTACACCACAAACAATAATGATCTAAATTTTTTATTCATTATCTACTAGCTTGAATTTTTTTAATGAATTTTTTAATAATTTTTTATTAGTAATATAATTTTGCAGAAGCTATGTATCAATTTAGTTGACATGGATATATTAACTTTGCATTAAGATTTAACAAGATTTCAAAATTTGATGTAAGAAGAAGACCAATTTAATAAATGAATATTTTACTACTGGTACTGGTAATGTAAAACAAATTTTATTTGAAAGGTATCAGCAAACTACATAATTTATTAAGAATTCTTTTTTGAAAGTAATGAATGCAAAGGTCACCGGTTGTGAAGAAATCACACAGCATTAGGGCTTTCAACAAATTTGATAGACTGTAATTTTTACTGGACACTGGAATGCATTTAATTATTTTTAAAGGGTTTCTAAAACATTTTCCAGCAAATTTAAATAAATGAATATTTTAAAACAGTTTGCAACTAGTACCCAAGTTGCATGTTTGAATAACCAAATAGTAAAATTTAATAATACATAAAACATTATCATTAAGGTTCTCATGTGATTAACCTTGATCTAATACGAAATGATGTAAAAAATAAATTCTACAAAATTATTGGCACGAGTTCAAATTATTTTAAATCATTTACACTAAACACTGCCAGAATATTAAGACACTGTGCATGTTTTTATCTTTTTTTAAAAGATTTATTTTGTCTTTTTTTTTTTTGTGTGGTGTGTTTAAAATAATAAGCCTGCTACACTGAAAATGTGTTTTTAAATAGGCTGGAATTACCCTGTCATCTTAATATTTATTAATTTGAAGCTATTTTCAGTGGAAATGGCATTGTCATTGCTGGTGACAAGTATTTTTAAGATTGTCTACTTATTTACCCAAAAATGGTTTAGATTTTTTTTCCTCTCTGCTGTATCATACCAGACACCATATAAAAATCATAATAATTCTAATTATAGAGCAAATAAATGCCAAATTATTTTGAGAAAGTCTGTTTCAGTTATTGGGGTTAAATTCTTTTTAAAATACGTACATATTGACTACTTTTTATCACTGATCAAAATTTATTTTATTAACAAAAAAGAGAAATACCCAGTAAAAATACAGATATACATTGACTTTTAAAGACAAAATCTGCACATTAAACAACAAACCATCTTGAGAGTAACCATTATATTAATAACTTCATTTGACGCTTCATAGTTTGAGGTTTACACATAATATCAGTTTATGTTCCTGAGTTGCAGTCATTTATTAATTTATAGCAAATAAGATATGACAACAACAAAATATTTATTTGTATCAGCAACATTCGTATACAAATATTGTTTCATATCACCTCATTTAAAGCAATTATTTTCACAATGTAGTGTATTTAGTGTATCTTATTGTGGCGTATTGTTTACTGTTGAGCAACTCCAACATTTTCAATGACAACAGTTTTTATACCGGTACCAACATCAAGCTTTTTTATTTTAATTTTAAGAATGCAAATTTATGTTTCTAAATAGCACTTTTGGAATAAGCCAGAGACTTTGAATCCACTTATCCAGTCAATAAAAAAGTTATTTATTTTGTACATTTTTAAAATTAAAATTACTATAACATCCTTATATTAAACAAATTTAAATTTCTCAAAAGTATAATTGTCTTCATCTAAATTTAAAGTGTACATTGAAAAGCATTTTGGTACATGATTTACTGTGAAAATTTGAATTTTGTATTGTAACATAAAAAGTTTTTATGTCATATAAAATGAGTCATAAACATACAAAAAGTGTAAACAAATTTTAAATTAACATAGCTGTACATATTTATTTACATTTTTTACAAAGCTTAGAAGTACATATGTATTTCATGTGTCAAATGTTTCATTATAGTTCCTTACAAATCTTTATTTCATAGTTTCATAAGTAGGCCTAATGTTCAGGAGAATGGATGTAATGTAACTTTAAAAAAAAAAAATGGAACATGCTGCACCTAAATCTATATCTTAGAAGTGCAGTTACATAGAAATACATAGTTTAACTTTCAAGCTTTAAGATTCTTGTGTTAACCAAGATCTTTATGTCTATATGTTGTGGATGCTTACTTTTTTTATGATGTGTTTTCAACAGCCGTACATTATAATAACTTGTATTTACATCTCAACAAAAAAAAATGAACAGACTAGATTATATTGTTTAAAAGCAAATGGTAACATGCAAGACAGTCAACTTAGTTTTAAGATAAACTGATAAAATAAAACAAACAGTAAAGGAAAAAAAAGTTTTCAAATGACTAGATAATTATTATTGGATCAGGAGAAAATATTCTATCAATTAAAGCTAAAGATAATAAAATTTCCAATAGAAATTGGAATAAAAAAAAATAATCAAGAGTTTAGAAAAGATTTTTTAAAAAATGATTTCTATCTCCTTTATAAACATTTTAAAAATTAATTGCTCTTTTTTTTTTTTAAAAGCAACTAATTATTAAGAATAAGAAGATTATAATACACAAGTTATTTCTTCATAGTCTGTTGGGGGGGTGGGGGTGGGGAATAATTAAATAAGTCATGACTATATTTAACCAGCTTAAGACTGCACTACATAAATCTTTTTACCACTATGGTATATCAAACCTGCATCATCTTATTTTTAGCACTTTGTTCAAGTAAGTTGACATATAACCCATTCATCATACCGGTACTGGTATATAAAAATTGGCTTAGGACTCATCTCCTTAAAAAAGTGAGAAAATTACATGGTTAATTGATAAATTTAATAGAGATATTATTGTACCGGTACCTACTCAAAATAATTTTGTGTGAATTAGGGGGGAAATACCATCTGGCCTATCAGCCGTAAGTTTAGGAAAAGATGGTTGCTCTTATTTTATTTTGATACGGTACCAGGGTACCAGAAATTAGATTTCATGCATGTGGGGACCTGGCAATGTGTAGAAAAAACTCAACTTTATCTCTGCAAACTATTCCACAGCTGTTACATTTGAAGGGATTCTTGTTACTATGATAACCCATGTGCACTGTGTACATGACACAGTCCTGGAATGAGAGGCCACAGAAGGTGCATGAGTATTCTTCATGTTTTGATAGCTTCAAGGGAGCCGTTGGCCTTATCATGGCAGATTCTGGAATCAAATGGCTTGTGGGTGGGATGAAGGCCATGGGGGTGGGCGGAATGGGCATGGGAAGGGGTGGGTTCAAGAGTGCCTGGGTGGAGTGGTGAGGTGGATAGTTCCGAGTGGGGTACGAAAATGGTGGAGTCAGCTTTGCGTTGTTTCTAAGAGTTACAGGCCCTATTCCTGGCATGGAGGTTGTGGTGGCTGGAGAAACGGTTGCAGCTTGTGATGGGGGTGGTGAATCAATGGGTAGAGGAATGGATGTTACAGGGTTCACTGTATCATGGAGTAATTTCCAGGCAAGCTCAGTTCCTCTCCTCACCGCTGGCGGAAGCGTTTTTTTTCTGTTTTCCAGCACTGTGTTGATCATCTCCACCGGGTCGACTTCCATGTCTTGAGTCTTCTCAGACCTGCATTCTTCTGTAGCATTTTCACTTTCTGTTGACTTCTCTCCATCCTCTTTCTTTTTTTCCGATTCTATTTTTACATTTTTGGACATATTTTCTGTACCATGACATTCAGGATTACCCAACCTGCCTGCCTCCTCCATCTCTGGCATGAGCCCATGGTTCAAAATGTTTAAACTTCTTTGAAGTTTCTCAAATTCAGATTCAACATCATTAGATGAATCTATGTTTACATTTTCTTCAGGTTTTTTATCAACGTCATCTCTGTCCCCCTTATCATTTGAGTTGCTATCGCTCTCTATGAGAACGGCTCTATCTGTCTCTTGGTCGGCATCATCATCATCTTTCATCTCATATTCGTCTGTATCTTCTCCATCACTTTTCTCCTCAATACATTCTGCTTCAGTTTTTTTGTCTCCAAGAGGGTTGCATTGACCACTAGCTCCCACATTATCAACATTAATTTCTTTCAATGAAGGTGTCTTGTTTATGTCATTTTCATTTTCCCTTTCACCAATCTCGGACTGCAGTGGTTGAAATCTTTCCAAGTTGACCTCCATATCTGACCCACTTTCATCTGCCTCTAGTGATGTGCTGATCTGTCTTTCCTGCAGCTTCATGCAGAGTGTGTCTAGCTTGTATGCTTTCCCTTTTCTAGATCGTTTTCTGGGAACTATTGATAACTCTTTAGCGGAATCATCAGAGACTTTTTCAGGTTCCTCTGATTCAATTATGGCCCTTTTTCTTAATGGGAGCTGTGCATTATTTGCCACAGAATGGAAGTCATTTGCTGAAGCTGGTCTTTTATCTTGGTAGTAGCAGTAGTCATCTCTATCTGGGGAGCTGAGAAGAGTGCACATCTGTGGGGAGACTGACTTAGGCTTTGTTAAATCTAGTGGAATTTCTTTGTGATGGGGTTCATACTGCTTTATCACATCCTCTTTCGGGAATGCTCTTGGTCCTGACAAAGCTCCATCTCCAAACTTGAGAGTCATCTGCTGCAGGATATCAACCTGCCCACAGTTATCGTCTGTGACCTCTAGGCAGCCTGTTCTATAATGCTTCATAGAAGAATTTTCGGAATAAGGAACAGGCCATTTACTTGGGGAGAGTTGACTTGCCTTCTGGTCATTTTGTGCCTCAGGGCTCTTTCTTGACAAGAGACCTGCTATAGAATTTCTTTCATAAAATTCATGTGAATTATGCTCAGTATCTGACTCTACTAATGGTTCAGACAACCTTCTTTTGTCAGTTAGCGTGTTGAGGCGTGACCGGGTCATTGATTCTACCATGGTTGCCTCACTCACACCGTAAGCTTTGGCCACCTCTCTAGCCTCGTTCTGGTGGGCTTGGACAAAATGTAAGCAGAGTCCCTGAGTTGTCTCCCCAACAAAGTCACAAAGCCGGCATGAGACATCTTCATCTTTCAAAAAGCTGCTGCCGTCGTCACTGCTGATGTCGTTAATTTCCCCGCTGCTGCTTTCCATCTGGCTCTTCAGGTCCCCGTCAGTTCTCATTGGCGGTGGAAAGTTACCAATACCTGGCAACATATTTGAATGCCCCGACGGGTGCCCGGGAATGCCCATATGCGGCATCATCGGCCAAAATGGCATCATACCATTCATCATTGGATTTAAACCCAGCGAAACTGGTTGCATGTTGTAGAGGTGGTTGATGTACGCCTCATTTTTATCTTTTCTCGGACCCCTGGGACCTCGCGGTGGGCCCCGTTTGGTGACTATCGACAACCCGCTGGCCTCCACATCCAACCCCTGGGGTAGGCTCCCGTCTTGGTTGAGGACTGTGGCCGGCTTGTGGTTGTATTTTCTGAGGTGAAGCTTCAAGCTGTGGCAGTACTTGGTGGCGTAGGTGCAGTTGGAGCAGCGGTACTGGTACACGTTGGTGTGGGACTTCATGTGAGAGTTGAGCATGGACTTATTCACGCACGAGTAGTTGCACTTGTTGCACTTGAAGGGCTTGGAGTTGAAGTGGTTGCGGAGGTGATACTCCAGGTGGTGCTTGTACTCTGTCACAAAGGGGCATTTGGGGCACTGAAGGAGCTTGTCTTCTTTGATGTGACTGCGGGCATGGTCCCAAAACTTATCCTAGAGAGAGAAAAAAGGGCATGTTTCTGTTAAACCTCATCTTCTCTTTCAGTGTCTGAATGATTCACACTTCATAAAAAAGGGTCATTAGTGTCTTAACCTATGCAAATAACTTATGTAAACTATTAATTATAGGATAAAAGTTAGCATATTTATGACTAGCACCTAAAGATCATTTTATATACCTGTAAATTATAATTTTATATACCTGTATATTATTGTTTTTCAAAGTTAAAAAATATTCTTTACTTTACAACAAAACAAACAAAAAAAGTTTAATTTTTTTTACAAACCTTTTCAGTTGCTGAAAACTGACACTGTTTGCACTTGTAAACTTTAGGCCTGCCTGGCATGCTCCTCCTGGCACTGTCATCTGAATGGAAGTCCTTGATGTGCCTCTTTAGCCTGCCTTCAGTTCGGGATGTGTAGTCGCAGTGAGGGCAGTTGTATTCAAAATGAAATTTCATGTGTGCATCAAACTCTGGCTTTGACTTCCCTATTCAGCAAAACAAAAGTAATGAAGCACTTGGCAAGAAAAAACAATTAAATTTGAAATAATCATTATTACAACATCCTTAAAATTTTGTTCAATTGGTTTTCACGAGTACTGGTAATTACTCTGCAGTATTTGTGAATTTACATCGGGTTGATCCTGAAGTGTCAAAGTGTCCTCGTTTTATAGCCATTTTCATTGTTTCTATAGTATAGTAGTTACTGTCCTAGTGTCTCATTTTTATTTACTTAGTTTACATGTTTTAATAATTGTAAAGCGCTTATGGTAAGCGCTATATAAAAATGCCTAAATAAATAAGTAAATAAATAAATCAAATGAGATGAATTTTAATTAACATAAATTACCTACCAAATTTATTTTTTAGTTTTAACTTAACATTACTAGATTGTTATACATACCTGAATAGCTGCAGAGATGACAGAAAAAGATGTCTTTGTCATCCCCCATAAGAACCATGCTTGGCATTGGTCCCATATATTGACCTCCATGACCTGACATAGGTCCTCCCATCCCCATATCTGGTGTAAGGCCAGGTATAGGAAATCTGCCAGGGAAATCCTTGCCGTACGGATAACCAGCTCCAGGAAGTGACTCGTGCGGACCTCTTGGAGATCCAAACTGCAGATGTTGAACTGACGGATGGCCTCGGTTTGGTGATGCAAAAAAGGGGTGCGGGAAATGTGGCGGGTAGGTCATCGACGAGTCTGGTGAGGGTGGAGACTGGGCCCGGGAGCCAGGATAAGGGCTGATCTCATCGCAACCATCATCGGAGAACACCTCTTTCTTGAATCTTCCCCCATCTTCAAGCTTTGTGCTCTCGTCATCGTCGAAGCCCCGGTGTTTGCCTTCATCAATGGGAGATGATGCTGTCATGGGGTTTGTAAGCTTACTGTTAGGGTTATAGAGTGGGAAGCTGGAACCTTGCGCTGCGATGGATTTTCTGGGGCTCGAAATTTCATCTTGACCAATTGATGGCATGTTGTCATTTCGTTTAGAAGTGTCATCATACTCAAAGCTTTCATGTTCACCCTTTGAAGAGTTATTCTCCTCTGTGCAACCATCAGACTTTTCTTCTTGCGTTTGCTTGTAACGAGTGGATAAAGGGGATGCGGGTGAACCCCACTTAGGTTTCTGACAGGACTCAACACTTCTTCTACCATCATTATTAGGGAAAACTGATGGGTCGCTTGGTGGATGGGACGAAAACTTAGTTGAATTATGGACGACAGAATTATCCTGAGGTTGAGTCTTGGCATCAAGAGTTGGCCCGGGTTTAATTGGAGATCTGCCACCCTCACGCAGGTCTTGGAAAGAATTGCCTGACGAAGATTCGCTGAATTTGTGAATGCTGACTTCTTTGGCATCACCTCCTGGTGAAGGTCTGTATGTTTCGGATTCAGTTCTGGAAAGGTTTAAAGTTGCCTCATTTTTGGAGTAAGGTCTGCCATTGGCTGACTCATTTCCAGAGTAAGGTCTGCCATTGGCTGCTTCTTTAGTCTGCATCAGAAGCTCCAGATCTTTGTTCTTTTCAGCATAGAGTGACTCAACACCTAAATGAAGGTTCTTCTGCCTCTCTTTCATTCTTCTCAAAAACTGTTCATCTTTGTGACTAAAGTTGTAAATGTTCACACCTTCTTTATGGTAGTTGAACGGATCCACTGACAGGCTTGCATCTAACCCTAAAGCAGTAGCATTGTCTTTCTGTCTGAAAAGATTCATCATTTGCTCTGGATTTCCCTCACGCCATTGGGGATCATGCATCCACTCCCTGTGTTGGGGATTTAAGTGATCAGTTGCTCTTTCCTTTGGTAAGATGGCGGTGCCTTCGTTTAGCACATGCAGGGGAGCTTTAACACTGGGGGAGTCTCTTTTATCATGGTCATAACTACCGTAAGAGCTTTTCATAGAAGCCCTTATTTCAGGGTAACCAGGGTGTTTGTATGGCGACTGGTGACTGTCGTCGGCATAAGGGAGCTGTCTACCAGCATGCCTGTGGTACGATGCACTTTGCAGTCGCTCATTGTACTGTGACATATCTTTAGCCACAGGATAGTTTTGGTTCTCAACAGGGCTTCTCAGCTGGTTGAACTTATTTTGGGGAAATGACTGCCCTGGTGTTTGAGGACCGGCCAAAGAATCCGCTTTAATTTTCTTTGTGTTTTCAGCTTCAACAACGGTGCTTTGATCCGGCTTCTTATCCACATCTTTGAAAAGGTCACTTTTCGATATTGATGGGTGCGTGAAATACGGCAACGGCATGTTGTGCTGTGCCTGGTGGATGTACTGATGGTATGACGGGTTGTTCACCGGAGAATGTTGAGGCTGTTGGTGCGGGGGCTCCCCACTCTTTTCGCCCCTGACATCCTCACGGCTTTTAGAGTATTTCTTCTGAGGTGGGTACATACCAACGGCTCTGTGGTCACTTTCGGGAACCGTCGGGTACCCTGGGTGGTAGTTACTGAAACTCTGCGAGGACCGATTGTTTGAGCCAGGGTAGTAGTAGGACGGCGCATCCGGCTTGGGGTAGTAACCGCTCATGTTCACCGGGAAGTGACCGTGGGAGGCTGCTCCGGGCTCAGCTAAAGTCTCCATGTTTGGAAGTGTGTCCCTGACATAGGCCGTGGGTGTGTGGGCGTCGGCCAGGCTGGGGGCCAACTTATCTCTGGGGGAAACTAACTGAACGAGCAGTTCTTTGTTTATGCCAGGTCTTGTGCGGTTGATCTGAGAGACGGGTAGTGGGAAGGTCGGTAGCAATGGGGTAGAAGAGGAGGGGAATATGAAAAAGAAAAAATTAAAGTGTATTGAAATAGATGTGTGCTCAAGAGGTGAAAACATCTGTGGCACGTGTTAGAAGAAAGGTAAAAAAAATTGTTTTAAACATTCTTCAACAGAAATCTTTCGCCAACAGTCGCACAACCATGCTAACAACATTGCATAAGTACATGGGTGATGGCTAAAATATTAATACATTTACAATAGACGCATCATTTTTATCAAGACTACCATGCAGGGCTTCGTTTACCTTAGATGCCGGTATGTCTTCGACTTCATCTGATCGTTGTTGGCTGGCTTGACTGTCTCTCCATCTGGGGGTGTCCACTCTATCAGATTTAGTGGAGCCCTGTGACGTCGTGGTTGTTGACAGTGGCTCCGCCCCCCTCTAAAGTGTCAAGTGTATGTTGTTGTTTTTTTAAACACGTCTTCCAGCAGTTTAAAAGTTGTCTACCCTGTTCGACGTCATAAAAGGAAGGAGAAAAAAACAACGATTTAATAAAAACATTGATATTAAAATTAGTTTTTACGTATCAATTAAAAAAAGACACGTACTCCTAATGACTAATGATATGCCTCCATGTCTCCTGCATCGGGCTTTAGTTATTTGTCATACGGGACAGCATCGTCCAGAAGTACTCCATACGCCAATGACTGGCCAGTGATTTGAAATGGTCAAGATATTTAAACGCTGAGCAAAATTTAAAGAATTTTTTTTTTGTACACTGACAAAATCGCGCACTTTTAGAATGGTCAACAAGTGGATTGACCGATAACAGTTGATGTATCCGAACTGATAACCGTTATGGTTTACTGGGTGCAGAGTGATTTAAAACTGCCCGCTTGGCCCCACAAACAGCTGAATTAGGGTTAAAATTGAAGGACTGCATTAGGGGTATTCGGTGGAAATAAACATGGTCAGAGGAATTCACGTGTGGGGGAGGGGGGGGGGAGATAAGATTAGATAAAACGTTGTTAGAGGATGACGTGTAGCAGCAGCATATGTTATTTGAAATTTAAAAAAAACAACAAAGTGAAATTGACGTGGGGGAGAGGGGGGGGTGGTGGGGGGGGCGCGGTCCGCGCTGGGGGGCATTTTTGTGGTTGATAACATATACTCTATAAGGGGGGGGGGGGGGGGGAAGATAAGATTAGATAAAACGTTGTTAGAGGATGACGTGTAGCAGCAGCATATGTTATTTGAAATTTAAAAAAAACAACAAAGTGAAATTGACGTGGGGGAGAGGGGTGGGTGGTGGGGGGGGCGCGGTCCGCGCTGGGTGGCATTTTTCTGGTTGATAACATATACTCTATATATCTTTATTTTTATGTGTATTATGTATGCATCCTGGTTTTCGTTTAATTCGGGGTGGCTAAATCAAAGTCAGCCTGAGACGACAAAAAGACAGCCTGCAAAAACTGTAACAGGGTATTTATTTGATAGAGTCCTCGGCGCCTACCGCCTACAGAGAGGGCACGCCAGCAGTCATGTAAACCACCAGTCGTGTACGCTAGCAGTCATGTGAACCACCAGTCGTGTACGCTAACAGTCATAGCATACACCTGCAGTCATGTACGCAAGCAGCCACAGCGTACAGCGGCAGCCATAGTGTACATCAGCAGTCATGTA